GGGGGGATACCATATATATATATATACACACACACACACGCATCTAGCTAGCTAGATAGATAGAAGGATACACACATAGATAGATAGATGCATAGATAGAGAGAGAGCCAGAGATAGAGTGATAGAGAGATGGATGGAGAGATAGATGGAGATATAGAGAGACAGAGAGATACAGAGAGAGAGAGAGATAGACAGATACAGAGATGTAGAGAGAGACAAAGAGGGAGATAAAGAGACAGAGAGAGAGAGAGAGAACCCTTCAGAGGAGCCCGAACCTCAAATCCTGCATCCTGGCAATCGGGGAAGGCCGTATGCCGAGCCGACAGAGCGCAGGCGGCCAAGATTCAGGCCGACAGGTTTAGGATTTAGTATTTATATGGTCTAGGACTTTTGGTTTGAGGGGATTAGGGATGGTCTAGGACTTTTGGTTTAGGGTTCAGTTTTGAGGGGATTAGGGTTTAGGGAGTTAGGGTTTGGGGTTGCATTGGGTTCTTTCTCTTTTTTGGGGGGCGGGGGGGGGGGGGAAGGGGCGGGTTAAGGTTGCGTTTTTCAACTTCAGTCCTAAGCCCTAAACCCTAAACCCTAAACCCTAAACCCTAAACCCTAAACCCTAAACCCTAAACCCTAAACCCTAAGCCCAAGCTGAGGTTGAGGGCTTTGGGGATGTTGCGGGCTCTTTGGGCTCACTTTGTTCAAGCCTGGGCTTTTGACGTTTCGGGCAGAGCTTTGGGCTTTTGGGTCAGGGCTTTGGGTTTACCGGGTCCTTGTTGGGTACAATTTTATACAATTTTTGTTTTAATAAACACCCAATAAGGACTAAACGTGATCATTTTTACTATAGCACCAACAGGGAACCAGTTTAGTGTTTGGGGGGAGTTCTGGGTTTGGGTTCAGGGTTTAGGGCTTCGTGTTGAGGTTTGATTGGGGGATGGATGTTGATGATTTGCGGATGTTGCTTCTTGAGGGCCCAGAGGGTTCACATATATTCCAATTATAACATTCGGCACCAACACACCATCCCTGCTATGGTTTTTGATCCTATTCCTTCCTAGTGGGAGTATATGCGGATCCTCCAGAGTCTTCGCAGGCCATCGCGTACTGGACCTATCTAGAGTTGACTCGCGATGTCTTCAACCGCGTACTGGCATCCAGAGAAAGGGATATACCTTCAATCATATTGGGGATCCTACTATAATTTAAGGCATATTCCTTAATCAAGGGATATTGGAGTCTCTGGGTTCAATGTTCGAATCAGAGAGGGAAGCGCACCACCCGAGCTCGGTGGAGTGGGGTTTCGCGGCATCTTGGGGGAGGTCCCCATACTGGACCGGTTTCGGGTACTGTTCTCACCCCAGTTGCAAGCCGGTAGCTCTAGACACCAATCCCCTAAACCTCTTAACCCTAAGCCTCTAAAGCTCTAAACCCTAAACCCCTAAAGCTCTAAACCCCAAATCCCTAAAGTGCTATACCCTAAATCCCTAAAGCTGTAAACCCTAAACTCCCAAACCCGAAACTCTTAAGCCCGTGATGTTTTGCTGTGTGGGAATCACCTTAAACCCTAAACCGCAAACCCCAAA